TAGGTTAAATATAAAGTTCGCTCCGTTTTTTTATTGATTTCTTTTTAATACGATAAATTTGTGTACATTTGTCCGATTTAAGTCAAATATGCGCCGTTTTGTTCGTGAACTTGTTGCCAACGAGATGCCAACTTAAATATACCCCTCTCGTAGAAGGCTGCGTCCCTATTGGCAAAAAACTCGGAGATCCAATTTTCACAGGCCTCCCTTGAGGCCAGCTTCTCACCATTAAGCGCGTTTGCCATGGACAGGAAAGTATAGTAATCACTTGGTGCCAAGTCCGGACTATAAGGTAGTTGCATTAGGACCTCCCAACCGAGCTCCTGTAGCTTCTGGCGCGTCACCAAAGACGTGTGTGACCAGGCGTTGTCCTGTTGAAACACAATGCGGCCTCTGTTGACCAAAAATAGCCTCTTCTGGATGAGTGCTGCCTTCAAACGGTCCATTTCTTGGCAGTAGAGAGCCGAATTAAGCGTTTAAGCGCCGTATTGTATAATATGATGATGCGACACGTAACACTAGTTCTATGGACAATAACGTCAAATCTTTGATAAAAACTCAACGAACCTTTTACTTGACCTAATATTCTCTCCAACCACAGCGTACGGATGAACGCTTTACAGTTGTTGTTGTGGTCAAGCTGGGTTTTTTTTTTTTATTTTCACGTAAAGCTGTAAATTTTAATATAATAAATCGTTATATCATTTCATTGGCCCTCTTCTTTATTTTATTCCGAGCTCAGAGTTTGCTTAAAAAAATTTTATAAAAGAAGGATTATAATACAATGTTTTATTCTCGCTACCTTTCTATTTATGTCCATTCATTATATTCACTGACCACATTTTAATGGGATTTATTTAAATTTAAATGAGTATTACTCTTAAAGTTTCTCTCACGTGTGCATTATTTTTCTTTTCTTCTCCACTCGCTATATGTGCACTCACGTATATATCTAAGGACACTTTAAATTGTCTCTTTTATATTTTAATAAATAACATAAATTACCTTCACATATATAAAATTGGAATATAAAAATTTAATTATATTTAAATATATTTATTATAATTAGAAAGCAGAGCTAGCCGCTATAACATCATGCGAAATCAAACCGCATTTGATATAGGAATGTGTCCACCATCTAAATTAGCTGGGAAAATCTTCAGTTCAACTACTATGGGTTCCAGAATACAGAGGCATACTAGTATGCGGCAGGCAAAATGCCGATAGGACCTTAAATCTTCTTCCTCACGATATAATAGAAGAAGAGAAGTATATACGAATTAAGCAATGGTACAAATACATATGGTCCAAAATTTTTCCGCTTAGGGAGCCGGAAACAACGGTGCATCTGCTCAAAGCGTGCATTGCAGTCGTATAGGGAAGGCAAATATACCTTGGAGAGTCTCATTGAATACCTGAAGCGACTGGAACTATTAGAAGAAATGTACTTTGCCCAGAGAGCACAACAGATCTAAGGTCTCAGTGCTTACCCTCTACACGATTTAATCTAATCCACATATGTGAAGGAAGATTTTCATTTATATCCTTCAGCATCTTTTTACGACTTTGTCAAACTTTTTAAAAAATTATTCAAAGATTTTTATGTACATTTTCATAGCATTCATGCGTGCTTTTAATGGATTTATTTTATATTATCACAAAAAAACATTTTCATAAACAAATTTAATAATGTGTGTGTGTCATTTTGATTTACTCCGCCCTTTTCTCTTAACAAAAAATTTATTTTCTTTGATTTGTGAGCGAAGTTTATAGTCCTTCTTTCGTTTTGTTTTTGCGCCTTTTTTATTTCGATTTTCATGCACAGTTTTCTATCTCTTCTACATTCTTCACTTGCACATAAAAACTTTATTTAAATAAACTAACGATATCTCCAGAACTTAATTGAATTTTCGTACAAAAAAAAAAAAAAAAACTTTCGCTGAAATAATAAATAAGTATAATTATGATTACGTGTTGAGTTGGGGTGTTTTTGCATTGTAATTATCTTCTTTTCCATTTTTTTGTAGCTTTTGCGAATATTTATTTACTTTGGCTTAATAGCATATCGAGAATAAAAATAATGGCAAAGCAAAACCTGTTGAATATTCAGCCACTGTTGTCTGTTTAAGTATTTTTAAGCATATTAAATGCGCTTGCTTATGAATATATTTCATAAAATGCCAATTAAATATGTAATAGAAGGCAATTTCTCAAAATAAACCGATTTTTAAACTTCATTTTATACATACTTTTAATGCTTTCCTCACCATTACAGCGTGTATTTGCCTTGCTGTTTTTCCTTTTGCTTGAAATTGGTTAAAATTACAGTTTATTTTCCACTAAATTTGCTTATACGGTAATCAATTATACAAACTTAAAGCTCTAAAATCATATTTTAATTTGCCTTCAGCGGAATTTTTACAATTTTTGCATTCTAAATCAAAATCGTGTATGTACTCTGCTTCTTTACCAAGGAGCTCACTTGCACCGAATGTTGCTCATACGCACCGTAGAGCACGCGAGTTTGTGCGCTTACTTGTGCTTACTCTTAATGAATGCTGGCAACAAACGAGCATTTTTGTATTATATATATACATATCTACATACAAAATGCACACAATATTTAATGCAAGCTATGTAATATTTATATACAGATGGAGGTATTAATTTAGGAAATTTGTAGAAATATAAATTACACCCAAACTATGTGGTGCTCGAGAAAATTACAGAACCTACGCTTTCAACATTTCGGCTCCCAAACACTGGCATAGTTTATAACTAAAGCTCATTTGTGGCATTTTTAGTTAAAATTTTGAATAAGTCAAGTATTGATTGTAGATATTCTTTAATTTAATTATTTATTTATTCTATTTTAATTTAATCTTAAACGGAAATTTAGAAAAATTTATACTAAATTACAAATTTGTACGAAAAAATATAATAAATGGACATTTTGTAGTAAAGTTTAACTCTTTTGAAATGACAAACCAAATGTTATTGAAAATAATATGTGACTCTTCACAGACTCACAATAGCCTAAATTATATAAATCTCTAACCACTTATGATCAACCGCTCGGAAATTGCTTGAAATTTTTTCCTTGGTCATTTGTTTATCCTTTTTTATCATTTTCATTTTCCTTTTCCTACAGACATCTCAAATATTGACCTATCCCTTTACAAGTTAGTTAAAAGTGTGACAATTAAGTAATGATAGTGATTCCATAAAAACCGTATATATCATTCATATGCCATTCTACAACTCTGCCATTTCCTTCAAAGTAGTCTCCCTGGGCACCTATACAACGATTTTCGTAACGTTTCTGGAACGCTTCGATTAGGATGTTCGCGAATACTTTCTTCACGGCCGCCTGAATGTCTTCAATCGACTCAAAGTTTGTTCCTTTGACCATCGATTTTGTTCTAGGGAACAGAAAAGGTCACAGTGTGACATATCGGACGAATAAGGTGGTTGTTGCAGCACGGCGATCCCATTAGAGGCCAAATACTGGGACACTCTGAGGGCGATGTGGCACGTCGCGTTGTCGTGATGAAGAACCCAGTTACGAGCGATGTTTGGGCGCACCCTGTTGATTCACTCGTTTTCGCAATCTTTAGAGTACTTAGCGATTCCACGGCTGTTAAAAAAGCAATAATCACCGTTTTCGCCTTTGATTTAGGCCATCGAAAAACATGGGCTTGACTAAGAGCAATATCACCATGGAAAGTGTTGGTTTTCCTTTACAAAACCCATGTTAGAAATTGTATGGTTGGGATGTAGAAAGACTTGTAAGGTTTCAAGAGCTATCATTTCATTCAGAAAACGCATCAACCATTTGGTTTCAACCCGACGACTCCATTTCCCACCCATCGCATCAATCAATGTATTTATTGAAATAATAATTTGCTGAGTAGATAGTTTCACGTTTTGGGCCGGTCAATTGGCCACCCAAATCGTGAGATATCACAGCGTTAGACATTTTCCGATGGGGATATTCCACTTCGATTTAGGCGGAAACACATCATGCAGGTCACTCTCCAGTTACCAGTCGAAATACCCGAACAAGTCATCGAAAATTGGACTCAACAGATGAATCATCTGAGACATGACCGTGACCAATATATGAAACAAAAAAATAAAAATAAATGTCAAAGAAGGTTCTTTCGTAAGGTAATAATTATTTCCCATTAAATTTGAGTTTTCTGTGTGTTTATTTATTTTAAATTAGGTAGCCACGAAACTCAATTTGAAATTACCTTATGTAGCTCAACTCATACTGCAATTTTTACCTTGAATTGTACAGCCCAGTGGGGTGCGACTTGTGCCTCCAAAGAAAACTGAAGTTGGGATGACATTTTCTTTGGTAAATAATTTTACTTCAATCGAGTTATTTAAAGAAGTTTACTTAGGAAGCCAATGATCTGCTCCACTCGAAATCCAAAGTAAAAAGATAGAATTAACTTGGTTCTCTGTTGATGGTAAACAGAACTCCGGTGAAGTGACAAAAGTAATTGTCAAAATGCTAAATTTAATAAAAAATTTTTTCTCTACCAGAAAACGTGATACTGTGAGAATATCTAAGTATGTATGTATAATTAAATTAACAGATAGGCAACTGTAAACTGTTGTTGTATTATTCAATTCATTATGGCATGGCTACTGAGTGAGTTGCTTTGTAATCCTGTATACTTTCAGGCATTAATTGATTAAAATGTGTTAGCAGGATTACGTGAGGCCGACACTTACTTATATATTCATAATTTTTTTTGCGGCTTACACTATTATTATTACTTTTTTTTGCTACAAAATAGTGAGCGAAATGCATATTTGTTTTTTTTTTTTTTTTTAATTGAATTTTAAGGTCAAATATTTTGTTGCCAGATTTTAACTTAGGAGTATTTTGCACTTGTCAAGTACATACTACTGCCTTATATCTTCATAACATTTGTTGCTTTTACAAATACATAAGTGAATAATAATTTTTTTATAATTTCTTGCAGATATTCCATGTGTCTGCTACTGAATTTGGTTTGATTGTAGATATGTAAGTACGAACACTTTTTTGAAATTAAATGCAATTTTTGAAAAAATTTCTAAAATTTATAAAAAATCCCTCACATGCCTTACCGTGAGCCCTCTAAGCAAACAGAGCATTTAGGATTTCGTATAAACTTTTACTTCGCTCTCCACAAACTGCTTTTCACATTTGTATTACCAATCTTTTATACTCTGATTTTTGAATACACAAGTGATTTGGTTTTAATCTTTGGTATTTTGAAATTTAAATTTCGTATTTGACAAACCAATCTCACCTTTTTAAAGCTAAATTAACCGGGGTATGAAACCGTAGAACTGGTAAGCGATTTTATTTAATTAAAAACCTCGTTTAAGCTAAAAACCGACAACAGAAATTGGGCGGAAAACTAAACATTATGTTACACATACATACATACATACATACACACATACATGCATTATGCTTCATCGCATAATTAGCCCACACAATTTCAATTCTGCCGAAGAGCTTTAAAACAAATTTTTCAGCGGACAAATTGAAACTCAAACAAAGTGAAATTGAGTTGTGTAACTTTTCGAGGGCGAGACCATATATCGTACATACAAATATAATAATTATCTATGCTTCAATGCAGGCGATGTCCCTCAATAAATGAACATAACCAAACAATTTAATTGCTTTTCACTTCAACGAAAAGTTTATTTGCCACGAAGTGCACCACTGATGTTGTTGGTAGTTCAAAATAAAATGAATATAAAGAACATGAAAGCACCGACAACAGACACAACGGTTGTAAAATAAAAAACAAAAAACAAAAGGACGAAAAGGCATTTCCCACGGCACAGCGATCCATTATGGACTCGTACTACTTCCGATACACGCCAACGGTGTCACGGTGTCAGTCTCTGTCGTCATCGATAAACTTACACAACATATGAGGCAAAAAAAGCAACAAGAACAACAACAAAAGTATTGAAAACACATACAAAATGAAGGTTAAAATGAAACGAAAACAGCAAGAACAAGAGATCTCCTCCATTAATACACAATTGGTAAAGCTTAACGAACCGAGTAACGAAATGAAAAGCAAATAAAATTAAAGTAAAACGAAACCGAGACACAGACATTAATGACTGCATACAATGACCAGAATATTCATACATACATACATACATGCATACATACGAAAGAGTAAATCAAGTATGAGGAGCGTGAATGGAGGCAATCGAATAATGATGCATTATCCACGAACACATACGAGTACACGTGCACGAACATCACAACGCCAACGGAAGTAGACACGAAGGCAGACGAAATTATCGCCGAGGTGTGCGTTAAAGGCGTATAAAAGACGTCATTAACATGTCGATTAATGTCTGGTGTGCGTAAATGTGGGAATGCGTGTTGTCAATTAAAGGCGCAGCAGTAAAAGTAACAGTTGTTGCTGCGTACGTTGGTTTATTTTATGCGATGATTGTTGCGCAGAGTCTGAAGTGAATCATCTGAAATGAAAAAAATTAAACGGATTTCGTTAAAGTAACGTATATTCTTGTGACACATCGAAGGAAAAAAGAGAAAAAAAAATTTTTTTGGCTAAATTTCGGCTACTCAAAAAAAAATTCAACTTTTCTCCATAATTTTGGTGTTTAGTGTAAAAATCTGGGAGTAAACGGTTAAGCCGTTCCCGAGAAATCTTGGTCCCCGTCTGGACAAACATAGTTTTTAGAAAAACGAGGGAAAGTTTAACCGCTTACCGCTTTCAAATTCTCTGACGCGTCGCTACATATATGCGCGTAACTTCCAAAATAACAGTCGGATTGACTTGAAAATTTTAACGATGTAACCCCGTAGGCCTAGTCGTCTAGCGAAGTGTTGTCCTGGCTTTGGGGCTATCTACGTAGAATAGAAGCTCCTCGGATGAGAGACCTCACTTTTAACGACAACTACTGCAAATGTACATATTAAGGACTTAAGAGCTTAAGGACACGTTGGAGACGTATATGAATATGAAGGAGCGCAAGTTTGGTGCCGGATTCTGAGTAGAAGAGAGACTCCGTCGCATGCTACTAGCATTCACCTCGGTGGATAAACGTCTCCCCCCAATCCGTACAAAATCGAACTACTTTACCATTTTACTGATACACGTCCACACCTCGAAAATAGGTAAGATGAAAACCTGGAGTGTAATTATGATCGCTGCCCCCTCGCGATGTCAAAATTAACCTTGGCGACTATAACGCCACGACGAATATTGCAAGCGATGAAACCATAAATTGTGCGATAAGATTGATATTGAGGCAATAGCTAAGCTTTCTAAGTCTATTTTATTTTCCTTTTTTAATCTCTTCTTTAATTTATTTTATTTTATTTTTCTATTTTTTAATTTATTTTATTTTATTTTATTTTATTTTATTTTATTTTATTTTATTTTATTTTATTTTATTTTATTTTATTTTATTTTATTTTATTTTATTTTATTTTATTTTATTTTATTTTATTTTATTTTATTTTATTTTATTTTTTTTTATTTTATTTTATTTCAATTCATTTTATATTATTTTATTTGAGCACAAATGATATCGCACACATGAACGCATTTATGATATTTTGTTGCTGTTTTTAGGTATATTTTGATGTTTAGTTCATAAGCTATAAATTTTATTCACAAAATCTGCCAGCACATTGGCCATATGCATGCATGTATGTGTCATCATTTTTACCAAAAAATTCCATTTTCTTGTTTTTAAATGCTCTCGCATTAATGCAGTTGAATGAAAGCGCAGCACCTGAGGCATCAATTTAAGTACTGCATACCTTTCCGCTCAGTTGAATATCACAATTCATTCGCTTTGTTTAAAATTCTTGAGCTTATAAGCATTCATTGTCAGGATTTATTATGTATGTACGTACAACCTTGAATGCGGACAAGTGTCATTCGACATGCAAACTTATTTGTTCGCACACAAATGTACGATGGTGTATGTCGATGTTTGTGTGTGTGTATATTTTATTCATATTTGCTTATACTGGCATTTGCTATGCGTGAATGGAGCTTTCATCTGTGAGTGTGTACGTGTGTGTATAATGCAAACAAATTTTACCTTGCAGCAATAGTCTACATGGGAGCCGAGAAAAAGGTTGTGCTAGCCCATCACGGCCATGTCTTCCGTTAGATATGCATACTCGTAAGTCAGTATATGTGATCGTTATCTTCATCAGTATATGGTTTATGAAGTACTTGAAATTAAATATTCTTCTAAATTCTCTTCTTAAGCTTTAGTAATATTCTGATGTTTCAAATTAAGGCAAGTTAGTTGGAAATTGGGCAGCATAATCTTCCTCTAAGTGAGACAGTATCATCGGGTACCGCCGAATTTTACTTTCATTAATTCGAGGAATAACTGAATTCAAAGGGTCAATTACAACGAAATATTCCAATCAAAGTTTTCAGCGAAATCTTCTATCGGCTTAATCACATATGCTCTCTCACAATAAAACGCTGACCACAAGGATACCTTAGAGTCGGGTTTTCCTAATATGCCTCTCACAGGTCCTCAGTATATCCCTGACAACTCAAAGTAGATGGCGCCAAAATCTCTCAATAATCTAAAGTTACTGGGAGGTGAATTTGAAGACCGTGAACTTCCTCAACCAGCATCTCACTACTATCGGCACCAAATGAAGAAGCTAAAAGTATGTCAGAATATCTCTTTGAGAATCAAAACTTCCAGTCATTAGCAATAAACCAGTCGCTCGTGCTCTTAGTTATGCCGTGTAAGCAGTATCTGCTAATATGCTACCCCAGAGATTTTAATAGATTTAATAGAAACTGTCAACACCTTTTGTTGAGACTCGACCCGGAATATGCAGTTTATGCCTCACTTGTAACACGTTGCCGCTACAAATCTTTCATCTAACACCACTGTCTCTCTCTGGTTCAGCTCTATTTAAAAGTTCGACAACGCCTCGGATGAGAGACGCCACTTTTAATGACGACCACGACAATCGTATTCAAGATTGTGAGTTAAGGATATGACATGACGTGGAATATTCAATTCAATTCGACTAAAAACTGACATCACCACCGTCAAAGAATTACAATGGACAGGAAAATCTTGGAGAAAAAATTGCCCGCAGACGTCATACAAAGAAGCGCGAATTTGGTGTCAGGCTCATGGTGGAAGAGACTACGTTGTCGAGTTTCGCCATCCACACCAGTAAATGAACCCCTATCCACAATCCGCATCAAAGGAAAAGCCTGATTTGTGCCTACACCTCGATTTTATTAACGCGAGCAGTTGATTTATGAGTATGGTGTCTACGACTTTAAAGACTGGATCGGTAAATAAGATATCGTCGGCATAACTGTCGTAAAATTTATCCTCTATAGCGAATCATTCCCAAATGAATTGAAGCTGTTCGACACGCAAAGAACGCCCGTCAACAAACAGAAGGAAGGTTCGACGTCGAAAAGTCGTAATAATAAGCAACTCGCTATAAGGGAAATGTGAGACGGCATTTAAAGCAACCTACCGAATAGGTATGCTCTGTCCAATGCGCCAAAGAGGGACTTTGCAGTCTGAGACAATTATATTGCGATAAGCCTCGCTAATATTGCATATAACGTCCAATCGCGCATATTATCGAGTGGTTGGCATTGAGTACTGCCATTCGGAAAGGCTCGGGTTCAAATCTTGGTTATGGAAAATTTACTTAAAAAAAAAAATTAAGTTAAATTTGCAAATTCCGGTTGGCCCTCAGCAGGGATTGTCAGCCTCTCCGAGTGTATTTCTGACATGACAATCAAAAGCTCCTCATAAACAAACTGGTAAGCCCACAAATGACCAGATTTGCATCTATCACAGGTCGAATTTCGGAATCCCCTCAAAAACTTGTGTGCTAGGCAACACTAAAAGCTCCATCAGATGCCAATCGATACTAAACGAGGTTTCATAAAAAGATCTGTAGCTACATAGACAAGGCACCATGTTTTCCTACTGACGTAAGCCGAAGGCATCAATATCTTA